AAAAAAAAAGTGTAAACTTATGATAATAATTGCAATCGTCGAAATGTTCGTCTTATTCCATAAAACTCTTTGTTGATGTCTATAAGAAATCAAATTGAGGAAAACAACAATTGAAAAAAAGTCTCACAAGATATGTATATAATAATCTTATTTTTGTTTTGACCATTAAATAAATCATATATGTATATATGCAGACACACTGCCTGCTGCGTTTTATTATACACTAGAATATATCTGATAAAGTAAACAAAAAGAAAGAAAACAAAAACAAAAACGAGATCATTCACCGAAATAGTATAAATGTTCTGTTAGAATAAAACACTTACACAACGTATACAATCGGCAGACTTTGTTGATTGAAAGTAGAACAACATGAAGAGAATTCGATGTCATCACTAAATTTTTTATGTGTGTATATATATATATACTTAGTTTTTCTCTTCAATACCTGGGTAAAATTTTAACAGCATTGAGTTCCTGAAGAAATTGAAGAATATCATTATCGGCACAAGTTTTACTTTTCTTGTTCATTGTTGGTACTTGATGATCATCAGATGATAATTTTCTTTTATTTGTATCAATTATTGCTAATGGTAAAGATTTTTTTACTGTACAATCTGAATCTAATAGTTGACATACATGTGTATAAGTTCGTTTAAGTAATAATTGTGTATATAATGATTGTGAACGTTGTCGACGGAGTTGTTTTTGTTTAATTGTAGTTAAATCAAGGATATTACGTGCTTCAGAATAATCAATGTCTGATACGCAATCATCGGCTATAAAAGATAAACGTTCGGTTTGCTGTGGCATGATCTATACGATGAATTATAATAATAAAAGAGTTAATGTTAACTTATTTCGAATGTGAAGAGATATGAATAAGTTATGGCGTAATATACATAGACGACAAAGACGTGTAGGACGTTTGAGTCAGATAAAGAACATCAGAATAGAGGTTGAGTGTTAAAGATGGCGAATGGGTTTTTTCCTTCTTCTAAAAAAAATTATTTAAAAATCGATAAAATAAATATTTTTTATTAACTATTTTTTATTATCTATTTATTTTTAAGAATTTCGATAATTACAGCGACATCTATAGATCAATCTACTAAATCATCGATCGTCGATATCGATTGATATAAGATTAGCTGAAACTCTAGATATGGGAAACATACAATATTTGTTGATATATAGATATTTTTTCTTTTTATAAACTTCCGTTGGTTTACATAGTAACCAATCATACTTAGCAACCTCATTTTTTCGCCCTAAAATGCATGACTAGTAAGGATAGGGAAATATTTTAGATATCCATTTGCTTCTTACTTTTTCAACCAATGTATTAGATAATCTCTAAAAATTCAATGAAGATTAGTATATACATACAATTTGTGATATTTATTATTTCTTTGGTAATAGTTGTAGCCACAGATTATTATGAAATCTTAGGTGTTAAACGTGATGCAAGTGAAAAAGAAATAAAACGACAATTTCGTCAATTAGGTATAGAGAAAATATTTTCTTGTTATATTGTTTTTTTTCTTCTTTGTTGTTTTTAGCTTTAAAATATCATCCAGATAAAAATAAAGATCCAAAAGCTGAGGAAACATTTCGTAATATAGCTGAAGCATATGATGTACTAGGTACTCCAGAAAAACGTCGTCAATATGATTCCCAAGGACATCAATCATTTAAATCAAATCCAAATGGTTTTTCTGGTTTCGATTTTAATATGAACGATTTCTATAAAGAATTTGATGCATTTCATAAAGCTCATCATGATGCTCATCATAGAGCACATCAACGAGCTCATCAACGTGCTCATCAAAACGCACAACAAGGAATTTTTGATTTTGATGCATTATTCGATGATGATGATGCATTTGGAAGTGATATATTTAGTGCTGGTGGACATAATTTCGATCTGCATAATGCATTTGGTGATAAAAACGTGCATGTACATACACATACAGTTTCTGAACATAGTCATCAAAGTTGTCGAACTGTAACAAAACGAGAAGGAAATACTGTATCAACAATTACAGAATGCCATTAAATTTGTCTTTCGTTCTGTCTTCATGAACAAAATATTTGTATTCAATTTATTTTATTTTTCGTTTTTATAATAATAAAAATCTCATTTGTATAGAATACTTCATTTAAATGGTACATCAATAGAATTAATTAATATCTCACATAAAATCATTCATATGAAAGAGAGGTGGAATTTGAATTTTTATGGACATATTTTGAATAGAAATATGTTTATACAGAAATGTAAAATATCATCGAGAAAAAACTAATAGAAATAGTATTATAGACGTTATTAAAACTAAAAAACAACTTTTCGCTTGAATAATCAATGTATCGATTAATTATCGAGCTATAAATAGACAAAGGTATCTCACCTTGACTACTAAAAATGACACGTAGCTAGATGGCGTATTTAATTAAATAAGAAATTGAAATTATTAAACTAACATGTCATTTCACAATAGAATAACTCGACAGAGAAAAGACGAAATACTTTAGTAAACAAGTTTTACATTTCGTATAGCTGATAAGATGCTGATATTCAAATTAGATTTTCTAATTATTTCCATCTCTATTGTGATATAATTTTACTATGCAATAAAACGATTACATTGTAGATGCTATATAGAGTTTGATTACAGAAAAAACATCCATAAATTTTCCCAAGATTGATTAACGATGATAAAAAGTGTTTCTTGACACTCACTACAAGCATTTGCCTCTATTCAGAACGATTAATTTGACTGTCGGATTCGACAGGAAAATCTATATCCGATGGGTATCACAATATTTAACATTCAATGAGATCAGTTCATATCAACTCTTTCTTAGATGTATCTGATTATTGCTGTACTTTTCATTCACTTTATAGTTGACAGACTATTTCTTTTAAAATAAAATCAATCTTTCGCTTTTTAAGAGCATGATTTAATCTTGAGATTGAATTTTATTATAACATGACTAACAATAACGACATAACTTTTTTTTGAATCAACAATTTTTGTTGTATACATGATATTTATCTGTTTGGTAATTGAATCTTTAATCGGACGGATAATAGGATATAGGTTACTACCTTCCATACCTATATCGACCTCGTTGGTTCTTATATAGTTCATTGATTTGTTTCTCACGATACTCGCCCATAACTTGATCATGAGTTTTAAGATCATTTCTCTGTTCCCAAGGAGTTCTTGGATTAGGTATTCGTAATCGTTGCGAAGCATATATTTCAGCTTTACATGGACGTGTATCATTGTCAACTGTTTGAAATCGTCTATAATCACGGCTAGGTGTTGAAAGCTGAAGATTTGCTCTATTTTAAAAAAATAATTATTAATAATAATAATTGAAGCATAATAAGTACTAACGGTTTTGTTCGTTGTTTTTTTTTCGATGCAATGGCAGTAGATTTCTGCTTTGCAGGTTTTGTACTTCGTTGTCCCATTAATAATTAACTAAATGTATCCTAAAACTTGCAAGGTAGACAGGTACATAACATATCTGATGAGATTTAGCATATGATTATATGCAAAAACAAGAACGAACAAGCCAGCACTTTTATACTTTTTTATTTTATCAGCGAAAAAAAACGTTCTGTTCTTTATTTTGACTCAACGACCAATACATTTCATAGACACTTATTGCATCTTTGTTATTTCCTATGTTTAACATAATGACTCAAGTAATCGAGATGCCTTGATTTATTCTTTCCTTTAAAGTTTATTTCCAAATATCTCATATCATATTATTATTTCTGTATGTTTTTCATCAAAATACGAAAATTAAAAAAAAACCCAACACGTATTTTATACCATGCTGCGTAATATAATGTACCTCGTGTGTAAATATTATTCATGTCTATACAAAAATACATTTACTTGAATTTATAATCATAATTAAGATCTCTTATGTTATTTTACTTGTTAATAGTTTAATATATATAAACAATTGAATTTATCCTGAACTTGTCTAAATAACAAATATCTATCTTCTTTTTTTCGTTTTTTTTTT